ACAAGCCTAATTTTGTTTCGCGATCACGTTTAATTTTTTCATTTTAAAATTTACGAAACAACACGTGACAGATTCGAGGAATTATTCCAATCTAATTCCTTCCCTTATCCTCCTTCTGGAAAGGTTATTACAAGTTATTAATATTTTCATTTTAAAATTTACGAAACAACACGTGGCATTCGAGGAGGAAAGAATATATCGTTGTTTAAATGGAAGAATTTCACAAAAGCATGGCACCTTGACTTTTAACCGGTTCCAATTTATATATTGAAAGAATATATTATCGTAGGGAGGATCGATCGAGAACTGAATTTTAATCCAAACTCTTTGGCAAAAAGTAGGAATTTAATTCCTGTTGAAAAGTGATTCGAGATGATTGAGTATTGTCGAAACAAGATTCGGCAATAATTGAACTCTGGAAATTAAATCGGTTATTAGAAAGAGATCAGTGGTACGGGTCAACGTATAAATCCAACCAGCCTCCTCAGCTTTAGCAACACGTCGTTCCCCGACGTGTATTTGCCGGACAGGAGGAGAGATTCAAAATTAAATCCTCCTTTTCTCTTACCTTCACCCACGAAATCCCCACTCAACCCACTTCATTGCTCAATCGATACAATCACAGAAGTTGGCTTGCAGATCCTCTTCCTTCTAACATTCCTACTCCAAGCTTCCCTCGATTCTAAACTTTCTATTCTAAATTTCGTTCCTTTCCGTCGATCGACCACGTTCTTTCCTCTTCTCCAGGTTCGAGCAGCTGCGAATTAAGATCCTGGGCGATTGTTACTACTGCATCAGCGGGGCACCGATAGAGAGGCCGGACCACGCTGTCCTCTGCGTTTACATGGGCCTGTCCATGGTGGAGGCCATCAAGTACGTGCAACAAACGACCAACAGCCCCGTCGACATGAGGGTGGGAATACACACAGGGGCCGTGCTCGCGGGCGTCCTCGGCCAGAGGCAGTGGCAATTCGACGTGTACAGCAAGGACGTCGAGTTGGCCAACAAGATGGAGAGCAGCGGAATGGCGGGGTGAGAATTAATTTTTATTCCTTGTACGTTCGTTTCGATCAATTATCAATCATGAATATAATATATTTATACGTACGAACAAGTGGCCTTTTGTTTCAAGCTCGAGAAAGAGAGAGAGAGAGAGGAAAAATGGAGAGTAAAATTCCGGGATATCGATGCGGCGACACACAAAACGCGTCCTTGGCGACGTAATGAGCGCGTGTATATCTTTCGACATTAATTACCCGGTATTAAAAACGCCTGCCTGGCACTTTTTTTCAACTGGCCCTGTCGTAACTTTAATTTCAGCCGGTGTAATCTTGCCAATTGTTTCTTTCCTTCTTCCATCCGGCTAAGCGTTCCCTTCGTGTCGTGACAAACAGAGAGAGAGAGAGAGAGAGATTCTCTTCTTCTTCTTCTTTTTAGAGTAAAAACTTTTGTTAAATTTTCCATCGAGAATTCGTGGGGGACGGTATCATCTATCTTGGATCTTGTGTATATTATTCAAAGTATATTTTTCGCTCTTCTTTCGAATATGCTACGAAACGGAAAAGAAAGGAAGAAAGGAATAATGATGTTGTTCGAAGGAGGGTGCACATCTCGAACGCGACGCTGAGCTTCCTGAATGGGGAGTTCGAGGTCGAACCGGCTCACGGCGAGGACAGAGAAGAGGCACTCCAGAAGGCGGGGATCGTCACTTACTTCATAGTCCGCGCGTTGAAGCCCTTCATACCGGCTGTGACCAAGAGTCTGGCCTCGCTCACGGACGCGGAGAACAGCAGGAGGGCGATGGAGAACTTGGGGGATGGGAGGAACAACAAGGAGGACTCGGAGGAATTTAGGCAGAGGCTGAGGAAGGAGCTCGACAGCAAAAGTAAACAAATTGAGACCATCGTTTTTAGCCGTCGATCGCCACAACCGCTTCCTTCTTCTTCTTCTTCTTTTTTCTCTTTTTTTCTTTTGTAAATGCATCTGATCGAATGTTTTTTGGACAAATTTTTTCACCATCGATCGCGAGCTAC